TGTTGAGGATCAAAGAATATGGATTTAGTCTGTCCATTTCTCGCATGAGTTCAGGTGTCTGTCGACTAATGTAGTAACAAGCTGACTAAGTTGCACACCACTTGTCCTAATGACAACCCTTAATATCCTTCTCTTAATGACATAGTACAATTTTAGTAGCTTAGGAAAGACTAAGGTGGAGCAATAAACAACAATAGGTAAGATACGAGAGTTAGGAAATTGTAAAAACAGAGGTTGAGTGATTCCAAATTGTCTTAGCCCCCTAATGTACAGTAGGTTGGACGGGACATTTTCTTGGAGATTGAAAAAATTTGGGATGACCAAGTAAGGTCAGACGACAGAAATATACCAAGATATTTTGTGTTAGACTTACTTTCTATTACAGTCCCTTCTATGCTACAAGCACATGTGTAAAGGAGAATTCATTAGTCTGGCATTTCAAGGGATTTAACGTAAGACCATTTTATTTTAGACCACTGCCTGATGTCCAACAAAAAGCTATTATATTTGCAACAGTCTGATTGGGACTTAACAGGAAGCGTGGCAGTTACATCGTCAGCGTTATGACAAAGTTGATTTCATTCGAAAGAGGTAAGTCATGTCAGAAGAATGAAAAAAGAAAAGGAGAGAGAATGGCAGCACTTTAAGGAACACCAGCTTCAGTAAGGAAGGTAGAGGAGGATGAAGTTATTATTGGATATTGGTTCACGCAGTGCACTGAGACAGTAAATGGTGGATTAAAAAAAATTCTCGTTTGATAGAAAACTGCATGCTCATCCTCTACACTATACTTGTAAGTTTTATTCTAAACACTGGCTATAGCAAACAGGTCAAGTGTTGTCCCAGTAGGTCAATGGTAAACTGGCTGTCAACCATCCATCCACGCGATGAGGGTTTAATTACTGACCTACTGACCTATCTCTTAAAAGTGATGCAACCACGGCTATTGAAGCTCCCAAACAAAAGCTTGAAGCCCTCCCTATGCTCCACTTAGAATGTAGGGGAATTAGAAAGCACTGCTAGTCAAAGAACTACTTTTTTTCTCAAAATTATTCCCTTTAAGTCAACATTTTGCACTGAATTTTTGGCCAGTATACTATATAGCTTCAGTGGATAGTTGCTTGCTTTGTTTTCCACTAATCCCTCTAACTTCCCGATAAGCTTATACTAAGTGAACTAACCAAAATCGAAACTTAGCCGATATCGGTTAGAGAACCATTGAAAAAGCCACCTAGGAGTACTGGACAGACGACTGTTTCGTCAGCCTAGTTTGTGACTCTTCAATGGTACGCACCCGCATCTAGATTTTGAACCCAGGACTTTCTGGTTACAAATATAGCGGGCTAATGGACCATTAAGCCACTGGGACTTGATACAGTGACCAGTCCATGAATTCCAACATCTGCGAATTCCCAACATAGCACTATCACTAGCCAATGTTATCCGTGGCGAGTATTTGTACTCACGCCTGGTTTAGTGAATAGTGGTTCAGCATATGCATATTATTCCCTTGAATTCCGAGTGAAACATACGAATTCGACAGTGTACTTCCGTTTTGTCCTGCCCTCTACAGTTCTCTTCATCTGACCAAACAACTACCCACAAAGTTTAATCTCCTCCTCACACGATCCCTCCATGCCGACTTCGAAGCAACACTCACCTCGTCGTGTTTCCCACTCCGATTCCACTTGAGGTTCTGCCTGGCATTCAACGTCACTCAAGAGTCTCCTCACCATTTGTCCACCGATCATCTCTGTTTTCTTCTACATATTTGCTGATCAACAGGTTCTCTATTGGTTCATTCATAGAGTGTCTTATTGCCAAGTGTTTTTGACCGGCCATCTGATCTTGAGTAGTACTAAACAAGAGAGGCAGCTGTCGACAAGAGCCTGCGGTAGCCTACTAGAAATGCCTTTCATGACGCATTCTCCAAGTTTGTGACCCATATAGCAACACTGACTGACTTTACACTGGTGTTCAGCATACATTTTCCTTTTTCAGCGAATCATTTTCAATAGATGTATATATGTATTGATGGTTATAATACAGAAAGTGTATGTTACTGGTTGTCAGATCAACATAAGATGGTCAAGAATATCTCTTGAGATATAATGACATATCTTTTCTGGACATACATAGTGATTTTGGATTGATGCGATCCAGCAAAAGCATTCAAATATACGAAGTATTACTGTCAGATAATCGGAGGTGATTTAGAAGAAGTCAGAATAGCTCTGTGGTAGGTAACATCGCCATCTATTGTAGTGAGTGATGTAGGTTCAATGTGACTTTTGCCATCAATATAGGGGACTCATAATCACAGTGTACTTAGAATACATTTTGAATCGTTGGCAGGAAAACCTGTTCAACGAAAAAATGGCTGGAAAATCCCTTCAGAACGATCTAATCCGAATTTGGATCCGAAAAAGTAGCATAATTTAAAAAAATCTACTACTAAACATTGCAAACATGATATTACGTTGGATAATTATTCCTTATATGTTGTAGAATGTATCATAGTTAATGGAAGGATAAATCGCTAGAAAAATCATACCATGCAGAAGAGAAGTACTCCTCCAGATGACTGTAGATCATGGCACTTTGAGATCCATTGATATTTCTGACATTGACCTTTAACCTGCCCCTAACCCCAAAAATTTATCCTAGTCTCCGATCATAACCTTGACCTTAATTTGCAGAGAAAGTATCGAGAGAATAAGTGGAATACTGTACCTACCCTCAGCAATTCCATAACGGCAGGCATCATTTGATTTGGAATGACTTATTTCGTAGCGTTTCCGAAAATCTGACTGATCCTTAAAGGCCAACTTTTGATGGACCCTGAATTTGGCTGTGATAGTTTAACTTCACCCAGAAGGCGAACATCAAGGCGTAGAGCCTTGGATGATTGTAACCTTCCTTCCTTCCTTTTGATTTGAATCTTGCTGAAGGATGAAATTGGTTCCAACTGCATTAGGGCTTTTGCTGTTGTTAATGACATCATGATAGCCACTCACTGTCTCAGTGTGTATTCGGGATTGTAGTCTGTGTGACCAGAGTAGAATATTCTCTCTCTTCAGTCGACAACTTGGATAGTCCACATCCATTCTACCTGCTATCGTAGATTATAAGTACTTTTACGCTGTATCTCCTCATTTCTTTGACAAACTGGGCAGCTTTCTTAGCTTCGTACATTGTACAAACATTCCACGTTTAAACCTATATTTTTATTTATTTATTCAGAAAAGACACACTGTTGGCTGGCTGACTGGCTTTCCGAAAGTGGGTTTACATCATTCTGCGCAAAGAATTACTATTATTGATTCCTTTAGTTCCTAGAGGAACAAAGAAGGGCTTCGGTGGCACGTCTCCATTTCGTTCGGTTCTCCACCAACGTTTTCATCACCTGGCCCCACATCTGCCAACATGCATTCATCCCCTCTTCTCATGACCTCCTCCTACATGTTACCCTCACACTGACGACCAACTCGCCGCTTCCCATTCGGCTTACACTCGAACGATGGCCTGGCGTGTGATGTCACTGGTTGGTGGTTTTTCTTTCTCAGACTATGCCTCCAATCCACCTACATTTCTTCTTGCCTATTTGTTGCACAATTCATTCCTACAGGGTCGGTTCACTCATTGCCAGAGATTCCCACCATCGCTTATCTTTTCTGCTTGGCCATCTGATTTTGAATAGTTCTGAGCGAAGACAACTGTTGATGAAGGTTTGTAGTTTGTTTGATGTGCTCTTTGTGACGCGCCAAATCTCTGTTCTGTACAGTAGGATTGGCTGACTTCGCATTGGAGTTGAAAATCCGGACCATATTTTTCATGCTGAGTGCTACTGACCACCACTCAGACATGAGAGAAATGAAAGCTTGCCTTGATTTTCCGATTCTCTCTTTGATATGCTCGTCATTTCCGCCCGCCTGTAGTTGAAACGATGCTTCCCAGCCAGGTAGGTGGGTATGTAAAGGAGGTTGTTTCCTTCAGATTCCTCCCATTTATGCTGGCTGATTGTTGTCTGTTGTTGTTGCTGCTGTTGATGTTGGCCAGGAATCTTCATCACCTTCCTCTGTTTTCTCTATGTTCACCTGAAGGAAGTCCTATCTCTGATGCTTGTTCTGCCAACTTGTTGCTTTTCACTTGCATATATTCCAGTTAGTATGAAGAGATGTATATCATCAGCGATGTCCAAATCTTTCAATTTTTTGTGTGGGTTCATCTTATACCTATTCCTCGTTGCCCGCTGACTGTCTGTCGCATTACCCAATCTATTGGGATCAGGAAGATCACTGGAGATAGTAGGCAGCCAGCCGGCCAGCCTTGTCTTACTCTGGTCTTGACTTCGAAGGATTCCATGAAATTCCCTTTTTGAATTTCTTGGCATGCAGCATTGTCTTACAACTGTTGGATGAGATGTATAATTGTTGGCGGCACCCTGTAATAAGTAGTTGCCGAATCACTCCTCGATAGATGCTGTCTGCTGAAAGCCTTTGTGTTGCGATTTGATCGATGCATGACTTGTTTCTCCTGAATCGAGACTGTTCTGGTCGAAGTTTTTCATCCAGAGCGTGTCCCCTGCGCAAAGAATTGGATTTTTAAAAATATTTTTGTCGATCTTTGATTCTTCGGAGTAGAGTCACTAATCCTACTTCCAAACTTCCCACTATTCCTGGGAAAATTAACGAACTATTCAACTAGAAAATACGTCATCCAGTAGAACCTGAATGAAAAACGACGAGTGGGGCATCAGACAGTGGCAGCCGCAATGGTGGACCACTGATGAAGAGAACCATAGAGAATAGGAGAAAGTGGAAAAGTGCTGTTAAAGGCCTTTGTTCCACTCGGAAGTCAAGGGAACAATAATAATAATAAGAATAATTTACCTGTTTGCTCTTTTTATTATTTATTGTATATTCTAAACATAGTCAATTTTGCTTAAAGTTCTTCTTTTAATATGTATATAATATCTTATATATATCATTCAAATATAGTGAAGTATTATGTGTTGAATTAATTGACTTACGAATTATAACTGGATGTTCAGATGGTCGTATACGTGTATGGAATTTATTAACACAACACTGTCAAAGAATTTTACCCGGGAATTATCGTCATGATCCAATTATAAGTTTAATGCCTTTAGAAAATCGGTAGGTTGCTTGAATTTTCATTCATTCTGGTTTCATCAAATAATATGGGAATTTCATTCAGGCCATTTTTAACTGATGAGTGTATGTTTCATGTTAAAAATTTGTCTGGTGATTTGATCTCAACCATGTCATTTTATAAGAGATACCTTAGTGATAACATAGTGATATGCAGTAGGCATGAAGATGCACTTCGTCCATCGGATAGACTTTACTCTGCACAACATGAAATAAATCTTACTTGTGAGGAAGAAAGTTGCGATCAAATGACATTTCTAGATGTACTTCTGAGTCGGAAAGAGGATGGCTCAGTAAAGTGGTCGATTGATAAATAGCCTGTTCGAACATGATAGTATTTGAAATTTTTCAGTTTCTTAACATTACAATAAAAGAGAGCCTTGGCTATGTACTTATTCAAGAGGATTCAGGGTATTTCTGCAGCTATTGCTATAGATGATGAGAGTAAAATATTGATGAATATACTTGTTGAGAATGGACATCCTTCGAAGTTTTTGAACCGGTTTAGAGATCACTTAGTTTCAAGGCCTACAGTCTATTGCGTCACAAAGAAAGATGTCTGCATCAAATAAGTAGTGGGATTTTAAGATAGAGACTAAATTCTCGGGCTTATAATTATTAAAAAGGCCAGGAACCTGTTCTACTGCGTGTCAGAAGGTTGCACTAGTGATTGCGTCACATCCCAAACTGTATACACACAGATAAGTGTGAGTGATGGCGCTTTGTGTGTGACGGTGGAAGAATACATACTCAAATAGTTTGAAAAACGGTTGCACTGTGAAGGTGTGATAGACTCAGGTGGGAGACTACCAACTGCGTCATAAGAATTAGTAGTGTTCTCTGAGGAGCTGGTTGATTTAATTGCGAAGCTCTCATTGTCCTCACTGCAAGAGGTTTCAGCATAAAATGAACTCAGCTGATACCTCCATGAATTATGTAATTTTATCGCCTGGTAAGCATTGTCATGACTAGTTGTTAGTTTATATCTCTATTAATTATTTTTATTGACTTGGAATTTGAAATTTGTTTTGGTAAATCTGGTCTATAATAATTTGTTTGTTAATTGCTAATTCAATTGACTATCAGACTTTTAGGAATCCCTGGCAATTTCGGTGTTTCCTGTATTTAAAATTTTGACATTATCCCAGCCATCAAACTGATGTTCATAATTGTCTATATGCATTGATACGAAAAACGCATATCATGTCTTTTCAAGGCTTATTTGTGTTCTTGGATTCGAATTCGAAGGGACGCCCACTTCGGCCGATGTAATGTCTGTTACAGTTTATATAGGCAATTTATTTTGTAAATAGTATTAATTTTATCTCCTTTTTCTGTTGGATGTGTCTTTCGGTTTGCATAATATCGAATTGAGCGATTTGACTGACTTATGTGCTATATCTATCTATATCAATCGGTTTCAGTATTCTAGCTGTTATTTCATGTATGGTAGGATGAATTTTCTTGTGGTCTTTGTGGATGGTTCTTTGTTGGTGTTGTGATGCGACTTTAAACACTTTTTGATGGAATTTTGTGGATAACTATTCTTTTTGAGACCGTTTTTAGGTATTTTTCTTCTATTCTTTTCAACTCTGGAGTGGCGCTACAGTGTGTTTGAATTCTTTTAAACAACGTCTGCACACAGTTTCTTTTATGAGTAATTGGATTATTGCTAGTATAGTTGAGTATTTGATCTGTGTGCGTTGATTTTCTATATACTTGTGTTTCTAAATTTCCTGTGTTGGTTATCCTGATTAAGACATCTAAAAATGGGATTTTGTTGTCTAATTCTTCTTCTCTCCTGGTGAATTTGATGTCTTCAAATATGTTGTTTATTAATTCATGGGTATATCCCAAATCATTTTTTCTAATTATTACAGATGTAACATCATTAACATAACGTACGCAGATTTTTGGTTTAATTATGGATAGGGAGGGCTATTAATTCTAATCTTTGCAGCAATCAGCTTCAGCTATTATTCCTGATATGGGCGATGATCCTATTGGTGTTCCCTTAATTTTTTCGTATATTTGTTTGTTGAATTGAGAGTATGTTGTAAGACACAATTCAATGAGTTTCATCCAGTTGAGCTACAAATCTTCATTATGAGTCATAAGACTGATATCAAAAGAGCATTGAAAATTTTAGAAGCGCATGCTAAAATACTCACTCTGAGGAGATAGCTAAGCCTTCTCTCTTGTGTGTACAAAAAGCAAATTAGTATCACTTCAAATCAACCTTGATAATCTTTATCTAATTGTATGTTGCCAAAAGTAGCCAAACAAACTACAGACCTTTATCAACAGCTGGCTGTCTTCGCTGAATACCAAGATCAGATGGCCGGCCAGAAAAGATCAGCAACAGAGAGGGATCGCTGTCACTGAGTGCTCCAACCAGGAACCGATTGTGCAACAAATAGGCAGGAAGAAATGGAGATGGATTGGCTGGCCATACTCTGAAGAAACCATCAAGTGACATTACTAGACAAGCCATTGCTTGAGTGGAACCCGAAAGGGAAGCGGCGAGTTGATCGTCAGTATGAGGGTGACTTGGAATAGGTTATGTGATGAGGAGATGAAAGCATGTGGGCAGACTTGTAGCCAGGTGAAAACTCTAGGAGAGAACCGAACGCAGTGGAGATATGAGACTGAAGCCGTATGTGCCTCTAGAAATTAAAGGAAGTAATAATAATAATAATAACAAAAGTAGCGTTAATTTATTATCCTTAATTCTCATACTTTTGTTATTATTTTAATTGGCCTTTCACTTTTCGCAGGTAAAGGTGTGTGTGATAAGACTGTTTGAAATGTATTGCGTAAAATACTTTACATTTTTTAAAGATAAACTTCGAATATTAGTAACGTTATACAAATACCCTTTGATGACATACATTGTAATAACACCAGAATGACTTTATTGATCTTATTGATGAGATCATGGAATCTGTGATCTATGATTTAAGGACAGAGTCCATCACTTAGAGATAATATTTGGAGAAATTACTACAAACCAAGAAGCACTAGATGAATGGTTGACTATAATTAGTGACTTACTGACGGATCGTATATGAAGAAAAAGTCCAAGAATGCCATGTTTCCTGATCTCTGGACTTTGTTATTTATCCAATGGGTTAAACTAAATCCAATAGCCTGTCATTCTGAAATTCTATTACGCTGTTATTACCGAAACATAAAGTTAATTTTAAACCAACAGAAATTCAGAGGGTTCTATTATGAAAAATAGAATTTGCTTTTGAAGATTGAGGATGACTGGAATCACTTTTACTTATTATGATAATTATGACTAGGCTACTTTGTCGACTTAGAAAAGGCATTCGATAGAGTCGATGGAGATGTGATTCGGTAACTACTTCGCTACTACCAAGGGGTGCCGTCGACAATTATACATCTCATCCAACAGTTGTAAGACAATGCTGCATGCCAAGTAATCCACAAAGGGAATTTCATGGATTCCTTCGAAGTAAAGACGGGATGCCTGGTATCTTCAATGATTTTCCTGATCCCGGTAGATTGGGTAATGCGACAGACAGTCAGCGGGCAGCGAGGAAACAGGCATAAAATGGACCCACACAAAAGACCTGGAGGATCTGGACTCCGCCTATGATATATGCCTGATTTCCGACAAACTGGAAAAAATGCAAGTGAAAAGCAACAAGCTGGCAGAACAAGCATCAGAGATAGGACTTCCTTCAGGTGAACATAGAGAAAACAGAGGAAGGTGATGAAGATTCCTGGCCAACACCAACAGCAGCAACAACAACAGACAACAATCAGCCAGCATAAATGGGAGGAATCTGAAGAAACAACCTCCTTTACATACCCACCTACCTGGCTGGGAAGCATCGTTTCAACTACAGGCGGGCGGAAATGACGAGCATATCAAAGAGAGAATCGGAAAATCAAGGCAAGCTTTCATTTCTCTCATGTCTGAGTGGTGGTCAGTAGCACTCAGCATGAAAAATATGGTCCGGATTTTCAACTCCAATGCGAAGTCAGCCAATCCTACTGTACAGAACAGAGATTTGGCGCGTCACAAAGAGCACATCAAACAAACTACAAACCTTCATCAACAGTTGTCTTCGCTCAGAACTATTCAAAATCAGATGGCCAAGCAGAAAAGATAAGCGATGGTGAGGAATCTCTGGCAATGAGTGAACCGACCCTGTAGGAATGAATTGTGTAACAAATAGGCAGGAAGAAATGGAGGTGGATTGGAGTGCATAGTCTGAGAAAGAAAAACCACCAACCAGTGACATCATACGCCAGGCCATCGTTCGAGTGTAAGCCGAATGGGAAGCGGCGAGTTGGTCGTCAGTGTGAGGGTAACATGTAGGAGGAGGTCATGTGAAGAGGAGATGAAAGCATGTGGCCAGACTTGGTATGGGGTGCAAACTCTGGCAGATAAACGAACGCAATGGGGACGCGCGGCTGAGGCCCTATATTACTTTAGGAATTGAAGGAAAAAGTGATAAATACTTTCCAGAATTAAGTTTGTAGGGGTTTGATTTGTTTTTTATGTTTAGCCACGGATCGATATCACTTAGAGAAGCATTGAAGACCAAAAGGGATCACCGGATAGCCTTCTGTTTCGTCCTAGTTTGGAACTTATTGGTAGTACGCACCCATCGGGTTTTGAATCCTGCACCTTCCAGTTACAAGACAAGCTCATAGACCATTCAGCCACTGGTACCCGACTCAGTGGCTTCTACCAATTCATGATTTTAGCACGACTACGGGAATGTGCCAACAATGAGTATTTTTTATCACTGGCTACCGGATGGGCTTCACTGATCACATAGTCTAGTGAGTTAGATCCCTATAGCTAAAGGGTCTATGAGCTTGTCGGTTGCCAGTTTCACATTCACCCTTCCCTCTTTACCTGCCTTACTACAGGCTAAGCGAGGTTAACGAGCGCGTCTGCCAGGAATTGAACCTTGGATCATATGAGACGCGGTGTAGTTGGCGGGCTTTCTACCTCTAATCCACTGACGTGACTGTAATCTGTTCCTAAAAGCCAAGATACTTCAATAAGGGGGGCTCGATTATTATTACCCGAAGATTATTTAAGCATTATGCAATGAGATCTTGCTTAGTTTTATTTATCCTATTCTGTTGATGAAATATGCATTTCTTTTTTAATATTAGATTAATTGTCAATACACAGCATAATATACTGGCGTTTAATTTTGATCCTGTCAATTGGGAATATCATGAATCGGCCAGGGATAAAGCAGAGGAATACTGGTTGAAAGGAATAATGACCTGTAATGCCAATAATGGTAATAATAATAATAAAGTCGTCAGATCATCTAGTCAACACAATTCCCACTTTTCACAAACTAAACTGAATTATGCTGAGTCAAGATACTTCAGATCACGTCTGATTGGTTCTGCAGATCCAAGATTCTTCAGACAGACAATGGGTGTGCCGATGAAGGATATATCAAGTTTGAGTAAAAGAAAGTTTTGCTTAATGTGATGTATTTTTTACCTTATTCTTCATTCATGGAGTGGTTGAGGTTATGATCTTCATTGTCACCCTATGTTGACGTTTATAAGTACACAGACTGTTTCGAGATTTTATTAATCGACAGAGTAATACTAAAGTCATGCTAGTACGTGGGGTTGTGAACCTGAAATTGTCTGAACTATTGTTTGATATTTTTTCTCTTGCCTGAAGCTGGTACTGTGGAACTGCTCCACTTCTATGCAAGGCTTCGTGTTGACTTTTCTATGGATCAACTCCTAGCTGTGATCATATAACATTAACTTGATCTCATTTTTACTTCGTACTGGAGAAATTTTACCCATATGATTCATTGTATTATATCCGCTGATATTAATAATATTGCTGAGTTGTGAGTCCATACTGAAAAACAATACATAACCCTACTGAAAACCAGATATTGAATGTTAGTCAATCTATCCCTCCCTCTACATAGCCTACAAAATTAACGACAGAGGGCAGGCTGCTTAGTGCCAGCGTGAAGAATTCAACTTGCTATGCAAAAATACATATTACATAAAAGTATTACTATGCTTTGGCTAGAGCTGAATGGTCTATCAGCTTACCCTGTAACCGGGAGGTCCTGGGATCAAACCCTGGCGGTGAGTCCCAAACTAGGACGAGACAGCTGTCTATGTATGCGTCGGTGGTTCAGTGGATCGATACTCACCAACCATCCACCTCGTGGTCCGAGGTTCGATTCCCGAAGGTCGCATTCCTAAACTTCTCTAAGCCAGTAGTAAACCCGGTGAAGAAGATGAGTTGGATGTAAGACTATCAAACCCACCGAGTAAAAATAAAGCCAGTGCTATCGAAAATCCAAAACTCAAGCTTGAAGGTTTATGTCCTACTCGGAACAATAAAGTAATAAAGTAAACAACAATAATAGTAATAACAATAAAATTACCATCTTCGGAAAGTTTGACCAAAAAATAACCGATTAACATTCAAGTATTGGTTTGGAGGGATTTGGTTGATTGGTTACAGGATTTCATCATGAGCTGACATTGGTTAGAGAACCATTGGAAAGCCACCTGGGAGTACTGGACAGCTGTTTGATCAGCCTAGTTTGGGAATCTTCATCAGTACGCACCCACCGCAGGGTTTGAACCCAGGACCTTGTGGTTACAAAGCTATTAGGCGCGTAGACCATTAAACCACTGGGACCAATGTCAGTTCATGATGAAATCCTGTAACCAATCAACCAAATCCCTACACACCAATACTTGAATATCGATGAGATGCTCACTGGTGACTTGCCCTATTCAGGTAGGTAGTTACCTGGGGTTCTAGTGGAAGTCGTGACCAGTAGGGTCCAGTAGGTCGAGTGTGGGGACAAATACTCGCCACTGATGACATTGGCTAGCGGTTGCGCTATATCATGAATTGGAAGATATTAAAATTCATGGTTTGGCCATTGGATCGGGTCCCAGTGGCTGAGTGGTATACGAGCTCACCTTGTAATCAGAATGTCCTGCGTTCGAACCCAGGTAGGTGCGTACTGATGAAAATTCTCAAATTGGGCTGATGAAACAGCTGTCCAAAAATCCCAGGTGGCTTTCCAATGGTTCTCTAACCGATGTCAGCTCATGATGAAATCCTGTAACCAAATAACCAGTTAAATTGATCGCGTAGTTATGGGCTTCAAGGTTCTCCAATATTCATTCTCAGCCCAATAGTTTATTTCACTAAACTTATTTAAGCCTCTCTAAGCCTGTTCTGGCTGCTTTAAGCTAGTTGCCTATCATACTGCAGGAAAGACATCATAAGCTGTAGCATCGCACCGTAGTCTAGTATTGTGCATAGCTGAAAGAAATATATAAAATTCATTATTATCAGCTTCAAGCTGTTAATGTTACATCATGATTAGCATATTTAAAGGCTGTAGGAAAATCTACATTTGGAGTTTAATATCATTGGTGAGTGGATTATATTATTATTATTATTCCCTTAGGTTCCGAGTGGAATATAGGGCTTCAACAGCACATCACCATTTTGTCCTGTTCTTTTCAGTCTTCGTCAGATGGCACAACTATCTACCCTGAGCCTTCATCTCCTGCTTACACGGCCTCCCTCATGTCACCCTCGAACCCACGCCCCATTCGCCTTTTCCCATTTGGGCCCCAATCTAGGGTTAGCCTGATGCGTAGTATCACTCACTCCACATGTGTCCATTTCTTCATTTTCTTCATCAGATTTCTTGAGTTATCGGTTCTCGATTGGTTTGTTCCCCGGAGTTACTTGTTGCCTGTTGTTATTTGTTGGGTGTTTTTTCATCACCTCCGTTTTCTCCAGTTTTCGCTCAAAGTCTTGCCTTCACCACCCCTATCTCTTCTATCAACTTGTCAATCTTCAGGTTTGTGTGACACCAATTACAAATCGTTCCCGAAGCCCATCTGAAGTCTTCTTATTGGTCCAGCGTATTCCACTCCTCTTGCTCCCACAGTCTTTCTCATAATCCAGTTTACTAAAATCAGGAAGACAGTCGGTGATAATAAGTAGCATTATGTCCAACTCCTATTTTTTTTTTACTTCAGACGCAATCGCTCAGTTTTCTGTAGTGAATCACTTGACATGTGGTGTCAAGGAACTTAACTCTAAGTTTCTATCATTTCTAAGACGTTTCGAGTCGATAATTACGGTGAACGATATTCGAATTTTAACTCCAAAACACAAGGACTTGTAATAAGAAAATATATTGTTCGGCAGTTAAATTCTATATCAAACAGAGGTGTATAAACAAATGTTTTATAAGGAGTGCAACAGTACTTTTATTCATATTCTTTTGTCTTCTTTCAACTTGTACACGATTCAATCATCCGCGCCTTCGAGTTGTCCGCCAATGGCTATCAAGGTCAATGAACCAATGTTCAATGTTCACATTCCTTTATATGTGGCATTATCATATAGCTGCTGAAAGAGATTGATAATTGCTTGGGGCACTGCACTTCGCAGTGTTTAATCACTTTCCAAGTTACTTCATGGTCAATGCCATCTAAAGCTTTTTCAAAGGAAATAAAGCGAGGTAGAGACTTGACTGCAATTCTATGCTGTGTTCGATGATGATGTGTATCGTTGCAATTTGATCCAGACATAATTTCCTCTTTCTGAATCCAGCCTGTTCCGGGGGTAGTTTTGGATACATGCATCATTTAGTCTCTCTCAGGGTGATTCGAAATAATATTTCGATTGACGTAGTGTGAAAGAGTAATTTTTCTTGAAGTTTTGATCAAAGAATAGGTGTACTGTACTGCAATCCACAACATCTTCCTTTATGGCTGTGACACAGCTGTCGAGAGGGAAAGAGATGATTAGGATGGCCGTCTTTGATAATAGGTGTTTGGTTTCTCTTCCTTGTTCTGGACGGCATAATATTGGCAATTATATTTATGTTAGGCGTAGTGTTAGGTAAGGGGGGAGAGTGAATTGACTAGGTGATAGAGCTACATTAATTGTGGTGACTAGAACACATGTTGCGCATTTCACGCCATCTCCTTCTTTGTCGAATAATATCATATGACATAGATTTGGGTGGCAGCAGAGGTAGATGTCGTCAAATCAAAACATTGCATTGGTCCACGAAGTCTCTGACAGTTGGTTAGAGTCAGCCATGTAGGGAAATGAAAAGTGCCTTTCCAGGTGCTAAGAATCAACTGCTCAAAATCTTTCTCAGTAGTGCAAATGCATTGGCTGTTTGCATTCTCCTAGACTCACGAAACTGTCCTTATTCCCTCCTCCGTACATTCCTGTTCATTGTGGTTGTTTGCGCTTCAGTGGGAAAACGTTCACCCATTGAGGAAGAAGGTACGGTCAGATAACGAGTCCCAAGTAGGACGAAACGCTCATCATGGATTCCGCTGGTAGTCCCTGTCAGGTAAATAACCTCTGAATAATTTATTCCTGTGTAATTAGAAATCACTTTTATAAATTTGGCATAGTTAAATAAATCACTTAAACATGTTTACACTGAGTGAATGTAAGCACTGTTTTCCTGTGTGTGTGTGAGGGTATGTTTTCAAATCTTTTGCACTTTATTTCAGCTTCTCATCGATCTTTGAGTGCTCAGTCAAGATTGAGTAAAACAAGTACAATAGTATCACAGTCATCCGAGAAGACGAATTCAATATCACCACGTTTTTCACGGGATAAAACTAAATTGGGACAATTCGAATTTTTAATTTCACCACCTATACCAGGAACATATGCAGCTAAACATAGGTAGGATTTCTTTTTATCTCATTTTGTTTATGACTGTTGCTTGAGCACCTATCGAAATTTAATTATTGGCGATGTAATTTATTGTTCCTAGAAGGCTAGCCAATCGAAGAGGCATAAACGTCAGTTGATTTAGAGAAATTTAGTGTTTATAGGTTCTGTGTAAATGTGAAGCTGTGGTTCATCCACTTTCTCCTTTTTTTAAATTATTTTTTATTTTCATTCTTTTGCATTTTGACTGGAACACATAGGTCTTCAAGCTTTGAATTTCCAGTAGCGGCGTTTCTTTTTTCATGAGGTGGGGTTGCTAGCCCCACGGCAAACCTTCCATTTTTCGGTCCCTGTCTGTTTTCGACATAGAACTTTGCACCGATGTGTGGCAACTTGAGTTGCCACACTCCATGTAGCACACAAAGAAAGAGAAGAAAGTAGAAGAAATGCATAATAGAGACAGTAAACAGAGGTGTGAGACAAAGGATAAGTAATAACGAAGAACAATATGGTTTCATTGGAAATCATAAGTCACAATGAGTGGTGCATCTGCGCCAGCATTGAGAACGATTTTTAGTCATATTTGCAGTTGTCTCCAGCTTTCATTGGTTTCTACCGTCCCGAGGACTCCAACCAGGCAGTCTTTACCTTCCTACGTGGCTTAAACTAACTGTTGTGTATTTCATTGAATAGTGCCATGTTTTGGTTTGACCGCCGCTACCTGTTTTCCAGCCTTACCCTATGTAAGCTAACATTGCCTGTTATCGAGGAAGGCCATGACTAGGCATACGTAACACATATCCTAACAATCTCAATCAATGTAACTTCACAACCTCGTTGATTGATTTCCCCTCCTTACCTAGCACTCACTCGACCAATGCCTAACCTCAATATTGCTCACCTTATTATACCACTTCACACGGGAGATAGAGTGCAGGCACCTATGATCAAAGACAGCTAATCTTTTCATGTCTTCCACTCTCAATGGCCAGGTCTCAAAGCCAGGTCTCCTTTTTACAGGGTGTCAGCCAGAAGTTGAAACCGGACCACATTTATGTTTAGATGGCATTCTACCATGAGACCAGTGACATATCTGTCTACCAAATTAACATTAACACTTTTAGTTTAAAGCCTTTTTTTAATGGAATTTACTGTTTAGTTGCCTTTTTCATAATATCTTTTAAGAAGCGAAAGTAAAGACAGTTTGTACGCTAAGAAGTGCAGCTAAAAAGTAGAAACATAAATATTTCCATTTTAACCTGACTTTTGATCAACTAACAGGTTTCTACAGCTAAATGCCAGCCAGTTGAACGAAACCAAAATTTAGTTAAATTGCTTGCCATTTGTATACTACGTATCTGTAGGTCTGACGCTCTAGGACATAAATCTTCATCCGAAATGAATATCCGTCGGGATTTATTGACTAGAACATGAACCTGGATTTTAAGGAGGACTTAACTTGCGACGTCTTTAAGGAAAGAATCTCAACGTCTCTTTAAGAAAAGGATTCTTTTCAACAACGCTAAAAGTAGTTGCTTCAGTCGTCTTCCAGTCTGTGGAGGCCCAAAAGACAAGATTCAGCAAGTGAGCACTTCTATGTGGATATATAAGTTCGCCTGTTCCTGTGGGTGAAGTATATTAGTCGTTTGATGCTTATACCCTATCTTAAAGGGTTCAGGAACACTATCCACCACATGCTTGCAGAAAGATAGTAGTGGCTGTATAAGAAGTTATAAAACTGAACACATTGATGATAGTGGCCATTCTGTCTCAACAAGTTAATTCTTCAAAGTAACTTACAAAAAGGACAGCAACCTGCTATAGGTAATACGCTTTCTTCTCTGTGAAGGAATGTGAACATTGAACGTTGGTTCATCGACCTTGGTAGCCATTGGCGGGCAACTCGAAGGCGCGAATGATTCAATCGTGTACAAGTTGGAAGAAGACGAAAGAACACGAATAAAAGTACAATACATTACTTGTAAAATATTTGTTTATAGACTCTTTATGATACATCGAATTTAACCGCTGAAGAATATATTTTCTTATTACAAGTCCTTGTGTTTCGGAGTTAAAGTCGATAATCATACTTAGTCGTTGTCATTTTGGAGCGCCTTCGCAAATAATAGGAACTTAGGGTTAAGTTCCTTGACATCCTCATTCGCATTACTAAAGCTTTAGCCATTCAGAAAAAAATCTAAGTTTTGTATATAGAAAAGATAATTATTCGTCCACTTCTATTATCATCGTAGCCATCCATTGTCGCTACAAACTGGAGTTTTTGTTCGTTAAAAAAATTATTTATGGCTGTTCTATTTCTTTTGTTCTTTTACGTAGTATCAAGTTTTCCTTCGCTTCTACGTGCATTCTGATTATAACTCATTCACTGAATTATTTATCTTAATAGATAACTAGCATTTGTATTCAGCTTATCCAAAGTATTGGTTATTACAAACTGATGTCAGCTCATAATTAAATCCTCCGTGCAATCAAACAAATCTCTACACACCCAATACTTGAAAATTAATCACCAGGCGGTTAACCTGGGGTTCTAGTGGGAAGCCGTGACCAGTAGGCTAAAGCAGGTCAAAGATGAGGCAGTAATTCTCATCGAAGAGGAAGACATTGCGAAATGGTCGCGCTATGTTGTGAATTGGCAGAAGTTAGATTCAAGACCATTGGATCAGTTTCAAGTGGCTCAACGGTCTACGAGCTCACTGGCCTTGTAACCAGAGGGTCCTGGGTTCCAACTCCGGTGGGTGCGTAGTGATGGAGAGTCCCAAAACACAACGAAACAGTTGTCCAGTACTCCCAGGTTTTCCAGCGGTTCTCTAACTGATGTCAGCTCATGATGAAATCCTGCATGCAATTATTACAAACAACTATCATTGTAACACTTTTGTTACTGTCTTCTTTTATGAAAAATATTGTATATAAATGCTATTATACAGCTGAGGAAGACAAAATTCACCGAAAGGAACTTCTTTTCTGTTTTGTTTTCTCATCAAATAACTTATGGTCAACCATCGTGTCAAAGATAACCTTGTAACAATCAAAACTGACTTGTTTTTGTCTGAACGCGGGGAACCAATCTCTGCGTCCTATTTTATAGCTGTCCAAAGCTTCCTTGAGCGATGCATAGTCACAATATGCTCTAAAGACAGCAACAAAAGCTGATTATTCTTCGATGAACCTGTGGCTCTATTCAAAAACAGACGATGTGTAAGTTTCTAAGCACATACAAGTACTACAGAACAAAATTAGTTGACCAAAATTCAACCATAAAAGCTATCTTAGAATCAAGAAGAATTATTCTCAACATGGTGAATCAATAACTCTGTTACAGGAAGAATCACAAACCAAACTCTTCTCGAAGACAATTAATTGTGAGGTTAGAATGACTAAGTGGATTAGATTCACTCGAACAAAATCACATCACATTAAACAACACACATCATCAGTATCATACATCACACAACCACAAAGAGAAGCATTTACATATGAGATTAAACAGGAGCAAAGACAATGACATCGCACATCGAGCCCTCAAGTGGAATCTAAATAGGAAACGACGACTTGAGCGTCGCTCCGAGGATGAATATAGTAGGTCACGTGAAGAGGAGATGAAAGCTTGTGGATAATCGTGGAGCCAGCTGAAGGGGAGTTCAGAGGACAAGATCAAATGAGATGTACTGTTGAGTCCCTACATTCTTCCAGGAAATTAGGCAACATTGATATGACATATTATTAATAATGGAGCAATGCATATAGATATTTCGTCTTCACTTCACGTCAAAGGGAAAACTACGGCCTTCGTGTTAAGAAGCCGACATGTTATCAATAAACCATGGGGTTAGTCGGAATCTATTGGTCAATGAATTCTAATTTCTGCCAGCTCGTCATATATAGCACCATGCCTTGCCGCCGGTATCACCTATGAATATCAGTCCTCACACTCCACTGGTCACTACCTTTTATTTGAAGATCAGAAAGTTCATACCCTAGTCAACCGCTAAGCTCGCTATTTACTTATTATTTGGTAATTAAGTGAAACTATTCATTCAAATTTTAAACCGTGAATATGTTGGTGACAACTTTTTCCCTAGTTATAGAATAGCGATCCTGCAGTGAGAAAGCACCAATGACCTTGAGCGCATATTAGTCAGTGGTCAACAGGATCTACTATTATTACAGCGTCACTATGAACGTTGTGCACTAATCAGGGTGCGAGTTTCATCCGGATCTCGTTTTCAATTACTGTTTTGATAATAGATTGATATCAAGCAGTTATAGATGCTCTTGTGGTGCTTTTATGCACGTTCAGGTTTGTTCAGAAGCATGTCTCAAGTTGCACAGAGTGTACAGAACGAGTTAGTATTCGAAATAGTAAGCCAGAAACTTAGTTCATTCATTTCCAGGAACTTTCTTTTCTAATTGAAAGCCATTACAGGCAAGTATTCTTTCTATCTGCCATTAGTGGGTATTAAAAACTTAGCTGGTGTCAGTAATTTCACGTATCTACTATGCAAAGGTACCATCATTGCAGAGATATAGCAGAGTGGACGATGAATACTGTCACGCAACTTATGGGAGGAGTGGGTGTTGTAGCTGATAAAGAAGACATATAATCGTGGTTACCCGGGGGCAGATAATGTTTTTGGTCGTTGGGAATTTACGGCACTAAAATTCGAACGGGATTCTGGAAGTAATTCCCAATGGTAGTATGGAGACTCTTATACCTATTACGCGAAGGTTAGTAGACCAAATTAAACCTTAACCACCAGTAACTGCCATTGGAGTGCGCCACACCAGTGACCTTGAAACGCTCACTCAGCGAGTCAGTGAAACCTGGCAAATAATACTGTCATCGTCAATAAAATATGCCCATCGAAGTAAAAAACATGTAAGGGTTAGGTTAACCTAATAAATAAAGGTTGGATGGAGTTAGATTACAGTTAGTTTAGAGATATATTTTTTCGCATAACGGATAGGTTATGGAAAGATTAGGGTTATTGTTAGGTTTAGAACACCTAAATGATAATTACATGCATAGAATGTGATTAAATTACTCTGCTGATATAAGAATAGAACTTGTGCACTGTGAAAGAGTATAATTCTTGTCTAATAGAATTCAGTCTGCACCAAAGAAGGGAATATACACGTTGCACTAGTTACCAGTGTCAAATCAGAGTATAATTCCATTGTGGGTAGCATTTATTTTGATAAAGTGTCATGGTGTTATACAGTCATATTAACTGATGACGTTTCTAGCACAATTTATTGCTCAGGAAATATTTCTGTATACACAGTATGAGACTTTATCAAAATAAATTTTACCCACAATGAAATTATACTCTGCTGATACTTTAAAAGTGGGAGACAACGATTATTATGCGTTCAAGGTCACTGGAGCGTTCACACACCTGGGACACTGTTGTTGAACTCTGCCCTATTTAGATCACATGTGAGAGCAAAGTATCCTCTGTATCACTTTTCTACACATTTTTTTATGCATTATTTCATAAATACATGTATTCGATACTCACAAAAATGCCCTCCTTCACGTGATTGGTGCGTTCGAGGTCATTCACTGATGATTGGTAGTTAGTGGTGCTTAAAGTTTAACTTTGCCGGTTAGTAATTCCCGGCAGGAGACTAATGGGCAGGATACAATCGTCATAAGATTTGGGTTTCATCCATTATCGATGAAGTCATTAAGACGGTTTTGTCGATCCTCTACTGGAACCCTTAATTATTCAATCAAGGGCTTTTAGCAAAGACGAAAAACAGGTACGAGCCATAAGTGGGTCACAAAAAAGAACTTATCTACAGTCATCTTGATGAACAGTTGTATGCGAACTGCTTTAACTTAAAAGAAATAAATACTTCTCATTCTAATTGGGAGATAATTTTAAGTCATATCACAGAAAAATACCCTGTTTAATATGTTTTATCATTAGACAGTTGGAGGCAATCGGCCACAGAAAGCTTTGCTGGTCTATGTTTCGTGCTAGCTGGCACTCGCCAGTCAGCAAGGCGTATCTGCAACTACGTTGAAGGAACTCATGTCCCTTCTGAGATTCGAGCCCGCGTCACCCAGGGGGCTGCAGTTAGTCAGAGACGTTATCACTGAGCTATTCAGGCTCGCTAGTTACTAGTGTTCAATCAAAATGTTTTATCATTATCGTCTGTATTTCTCGTGTAAATAAACCTCATTTTTATAAAACAAACACTGGTTTTTTAGAATCTTTTCATGCATATCTTGACTTTGCAATATTAGTACTCTTCTTTTTTTTTAAAAAAAACTTTTTATTTCTTTATATTGTGAAGAATTGAAAAACGTCCCAAGTCAGCATTTGCTGTTACTAAAGCATTGAAACAAATGGAACTTGAAAAATTGACAATTGAACAACAATCTAAGGAAGGGAGAAAATCATTTTTTTCTGACCTAAATTTATTCAATAAAACAAATAAAGAAAAATTACTATCATCATCATCATCACCACTAGTGAACGACAATTCTAATGAACAGAAGAGAAAAGACAATAAACTAATTCATCATAAAATATTGTCTTCGACACAGTATTGTTTCCAATCTCCTCAAGATATTAAACAATTCAAGTTGAATTTACTAAAACAAATTCATAATTTAAAAAGAAATCAACTCAACAATTCAAAAACTGATCAAAATTCTATAAAGGATACTTATACGAAATTAAATTTAAATCATAAAAGTTTGGTGGTGAAATGTAGGAAGAATCATGGCAACAGAGTGTTCGATTGTAGTGATTTTGATATCAGTGATAATGACAACAGTGCTGATGACACCGATAGGCTCTTAGAACAATTATTCGATCTATGTGAATATGATTTTGAACAAGCGCATAGAAATAGTCAAAGTTTAAAGAGACTACGGCCAAAATCAGCACCTGAAGTTAGCATGGAATTAATGTCAGCAAATGAAGCACGTTCGATATTCGCTCAGTCGAGTGTGAAACCGGAAGATTTCCGTGTTAAACATAAACAGACGATTGATCTTAATTCAATTCAATTGCCAAAGCCTTTTGTAAGTGGTATTCATGTGAAGCATCTAATTATTTCGGTGAAGCTGAATTTTTTGGATTTGTTCATTACTGATAAACTTCAAGATCGATTTCTGGTACTTTCAGTGGGAAATAATGATCGATGGATTTATATAAAAAGCTTCTTTATTCTGGACAGTAATTATAAGATGTACAGAATGTTCAGAGGAGTTTATTGCATGATATCTTCCCCTGCGTACAATATCTTGAAGTAAAATCTTAAATGATTAAAAATGCCCATTAAAACTTTTCAAAGGAATGGATACTGAACAAAGAGTACTCTTTTCCATAACCCCTTCATCATCAGGCTCTACAGTTATACATAGACATTATAGTGAATGAATGAATTAGTTTTATGAACAACATTAATGTTGCTGTTTAAATAACATCGAATCAATAATATTGGTAGATTACAGCTCAATAGCATCAACATACAATAAGCTGAATGTCAGAAAGGCAAATTAAGAAAGATAATATTACATATTCATGAATATATAGTCTCCACTGAAGGACAGAGTAGTAGCAGGGGCTTGCTGGACTTGCTTCTTTTTCACACAGAGCACTGGTTGTTTGAGGCGAATTGCAATAGCCTCTGCTGTTTGGAGTATGCGGTGCTTGGATGATTTTGGCAACTTATTAGGCACCCGGTAGGTGGTGATAGAGAAGGATTCTTCCACGCTGGCTTTGTGGCCAGTTTCCACGAGATGATCCAATATCGAACTGTTAATGGTTTTCACAATACCCTTACTTAGCCATACTGGGAGATGTTCTCGAGCGAGCAAGAAGAATCAAGTTCCTAGAGCAAAGGCCAATATAACTCGCTCCACTACAAGCGCAGTTGAATTGGTAGATACAATTTGAAATGGCCAGCTAGTCTAGGTACTTCATCTTTCATTCGAGGTAGCATTATCGGTCGTGTACAGAATAATACATGTAGTTCGCCAGCATTATATTGTTGCTATTGAGCTGTAATCTATCAATATTATTGATTCGATGTTATCTAAACATTATGTTGTTCATAGCATTAATTCATTCATCTACTATAATGTATATATAACTGTAGAGCCTGGTGATGAAGGGGTTATCGAAAAGAGTACTCTTTGTTCAGTATACATTCTTTTGAAAGTATCAATTGACAGTAGTATATCCAGTGACATAATGCTCTCTGAGATGAGGCACGAAATATTCCATTATGATATATCTGCTTCGTCTCTTTCTTTCAAGAAATCCACGATATCGATCTAGTTGAAAGCCAATTATAAGATGTTGAGGAGTAAATTTTGAGACCCAAGGATATAAGCGAAGAAAAGTTATCTCATGTATTAGAACATGCTGCCACCCACAGTGAGGCCTTTACTCAGGTTTAGTAGGAACTTGTGAAATAGAAGCTTGTAAACATTTTAAATACACAGAGGAGTAGGTAATACCATTAGAGGCAAGTGATATCTGAATCGATTAAAACAAACCCAATGAGAGAAAATATATGCAACACGGAGAGAGAGACGAAAGTTTTTGGTAGCCCAAGATTTAAGCAGGCCGCCGACAGTGTGGTGATAGATGTTTAATAAATTGTTAGATGATGCATACAAAACATCGATATCCATGGCATCTCAAATGTTTCAGTACTTGTGAACGAAAGTGCCTGGTTTACAATGTAGTGAATGATCTTGGGTTCAAGTTATGTGATTGTGTTGTATGAGTCACGCGTTTACTGTTTGAGAGTTCATGAATGTGATGAAAAATTATTTAACGCCCGTTAGTTTATAATGATTCTTCCAGCTAATGACGGTTTACAAAATAAAGAAATTACAGGATTTCATCATAAGCTGACATTGGTTAGAGAACCATTGGAAAACCTGGGAGTACTGGGCAGCCGTTTCGTCCTAGTTTAGGACTCGTCATCAGTACGCGCCCACCCACACGAGTTCGAACCCAGGACCTTCTGGTTACAAGGTTAGTGAGGTCGTATACCACTAAGCCCCATTGGACCCGATCCAATAGCCAGCCCATGAGTTCTTACTTCTGCCAATTCACGACATAGCGCGTCCCAATGGTTTTCTAACCAATGTCAGCTTATGATGAAATCCTGTAACCAATCAAATCCCTACAAACCAACACTTGAAAAAAATTTAATTTTTAAGAATCTTAAAATCCTGTACAAAGTAAAAGTTTAAGTTTTTGTGAATTATTTTATAATTGACTGAATGATTGGAAAATCCTGTAGCCTTGCAGAGAACTGCATTAGTGTAAGATACACACTTCGAAAAGGTATAGGAATTAAAAACAGGATGATAGAGTGATAGACAAACATAAGTGGGACAAGAAAAATAATTAAATGAAGTTCAGTGAAGGATTTTAGAATCTGGAAGATGACAAGGAGTGATTTGAATGCATGTACGGCCATGAGTTGTATCATGAAGTATGTACCTGTAGCTCTGACATGTTGGTTTAGGAGATCACCTTTCAGTGCCTGAGCCATGAGCTCTAAAGGCAGTCTACCTGTAGAGTTTCGGGCAGCTGGATGGTATCACACATAATGTATGACTCCTTAACAACTCCTATTATTTCAGTTATTTTAATCTTATTTTAATCTACGTTCGCAGTGGAAAAAACGGCTTCAAGCTTCAGTAACAGTGGCGTTTATTTTACTAGATAGGATTGCTAACCTCACGCCTAAACTTCCCTCTCTTCCTGGATTAATACTGGCCCCGCACTGCATGCTTAGTTGGCGAGTATTCTACTACTGAACCACCAACACATTTGTAAGCAGCTGTCTCACCACAGTTTGTGGCTCATCAGTCCTGCGCATGTACCGGAATTTGAAACCAGGGCCTTCTGATTATGTAGATCTTCCATTCACTGGGACCCGACTTAGTGGCCCCTCAATTCTAACTTCCTCCGATTCAAGATACGCAGTACAATGGCCAGCCAGAGAGTAACTCTTTTCATACGTGACTTGGTGGGCCCTACTGATCAAAACGTCTCACCAGGTAATAATTATGACAATAATAACATTAATAATAATAGTAATATTAATGACGACATGCATGTCAAACATGCGCAGGTTAATGACAAAACCAACAAAAGTAATTCCACACAAAGAAGGAACCTCGGGAACCCCATGCATAATTCCTAACAAGGCAGGAATAAAAGTGGCTAGCATTCAAACTCATAAACTAAATTAGAAACAAGCTTTGTCGGTTAAAGGATCAATCCTGTGGAGCCTTTAAAAAAAAACAATTTAGTTTATCTAGTAGCCTTCTGGAATGATTCTCAGGTCAAATACATTAGACAAAGTAGTAGAACAAGGACAGTTAGACTAGCAGAACATAAAAACCTAGCTAAATCTAGATTCGTTGACCAAAATAAGATAAGAAATTCAGAGAATACTTCAGCTATACCACTCACTACATGTAATTACATACAATCATGCAAGAGGATGGATGTGATAGGATGGCAGTTTAAAAATCTAATGTAACTGGGTGGAGGGAACAGGATTGATAACCCCAGCTTTGTTTATCGAATCAACTGCAAACACCTGGCGTGTAATAGGAATGATTCAACACCTGTCCACTCAGATATCTGTAAAATTCTACTACCCCAGTGACGACAAATAGGAGAGAACAAAGAAGACTATAAAATTCAAGTTTTGAAGTCGTATGATTATAATTGATGACATGATTATGAAGAGTAATAAATTGTGTTCGGAACGTGATCCAGTAAATAATACTGTTTCACTGTGTGATATATCTAATAAACAAACTAATATGGAATTACTTACTACCATAGTGCCCAAGTTTTACACATATATCTCACCAGGTAACTTTCTGTATAGAAGTTGCTAGTGAGCATCCGATTCATTGTCAAGTATCGGTTTGCAAGGATTTGATTGTTTAAATGTATATTTTTTGATTGGACACTAGCCAGTAACTAGTCGTATCTTTGTTGCAGACTGAATTCTATCAATCAAGTTCGCAATCTGGCAGCCATACCACTAGGTGGATCGCTGTCACGGTGTACTGTGAATTGTTGATATTAGACCGTTGAATTGAATCAGTAAAAGCCCTTGACCCAGGTTTCGTCCTAGTTGGCACTCGTCAGCAAGGTGTATCTGCAGGTTGTAACATCTCTAACAGCAGCAGTGGGTGGCGCGGTTTCGAATCTCAGAAGTGCCATAAGTTCCTTTGAAGTTACAGGTACGCCTTACTGACTGGTGAGTGCCGACTAGCACGAAACCTAGGTCTAAGGCATTTTCCCAATTACATTCAACCATCTAATACCAACGATAGTTTACATGTTTGATCACGAGTTCATTAAATTGACTAGTGGTTATGCTAAATTTCACGAAGTTTCAGAATTTGGAATTTATTGGCCATTGTATTGGATCCCATTGGCTGAATGGTCTATGAGTTCGTCTTTTAACCTGAAGATCCTGCGTTTGTACTGATGAAGAGTCTCGTATTAGGACGAAACAGTCGACTTTTTAGTAGTTCCTACTGGTTTCTAACTGATTTCAACTCTTGATCAAACCTGTAGGCAATCAAATCCCATCTACAAACTAACACTTGATAATCTTTCACATTCGCTAGTCACAATAGCCTTTATCTATGATGGTTTCAATGAATTCCTCTTGTCTGGTTTTTTGTGTTTAGAATTGGAACAACTTAAACTAATTCACTTCTATTATTCGTTCACAGTTATTTACACATTATATTGTATTTCACCTGTATGTTACTGGTCATTTCGTTCTGTTGATTTGCTTCTTTATTTCTTTTGTTCTTCTAAAACAAGGTTAACCATGAAATTATAAATCTGTTGAAGAAAAATAGAAAGCAGACTCTGTGCACATGATAAGTACAATCAATGAATTGTAAAAATTTTCATTGCAAACAAAAACAGTTGACTTTCAACATACCATACAGACTATTATCATGGCAGCATAGAACAAACTTTTCTTCTTCTTCTTATTATTATTATCAATATTGTTTATATAAATGCATACATTTTGTTTATCTTTACTTCTATTTTTTGATCAAACATACTTATTGCATGATTATTGGGCAATGTTAAACTATCATAGCCAAAATGACACTGAACCAGGATAACTAATCAGAATTCAGGCACAGAAAGTTGCACAATCATTGAAAAATGCACTTAAAAACACTATTATTATTATTACTACTATTATTAATATATGTGTAAAACTTGGGCACTATGGTAGTAAGTAATTCCATATTAGTTTGTTTATTAGATATATCACACAGTGAAACAGTATTATTTACTGGATCACGTTTCGAACACAATTATTATTCTTCATTAACATGTCATCAATTATAATCATACGACTTCGAAACTTGAATTTTATAGTCTTCTTTGTTCTCTCCTATTTGTCGTCACTGGGGTAGTAGAATTTTCCAGATATCTGAGTGGACAGGTGTTGAATCATTCCTATTACACGCCAGGTGTTTACAGTTGATTCGATAAACAAAGCTGGGGTTATCAATCCTGTTCCCTCCACCCAGTTACATTAGATTTTTAAACTGCCATCCTATCACATCCATCCTCTTGCATGATTGTATGTAATTACATGTAGTGAGTGGTATAGCTGAACTATTCTCTGAATTTCTTATCTTATTTTGGTCAACGAATCTAGATTTTTCTAGGTTTTTATGTTCTGCTAGTCTAACTGTCCTTGTTCTACTACTTTGTCTTATGTATTTGACCTGAGAATCATTCCAGTAGGGTATTAGATAAACTAAATTGTTTTTTTTTAAAGGCTCCACAGGATTGATCCTTTAACTGACAATGCTTGTTTCTAATTGAAATATAGAAGGCTGATGTGAATCACTGATTCAAAAGGTTTCTGGTTCTTGACTTGAAATTATGAATTGGATTCAATAGAATGTTAGCTGGAGAATGAGAATTATTCACAATTTACTTGCATTTTCTGGCCAATTCAGTTTTTTCGGGAATTCAGGATGCAGAAACATATGGCTCTGAACTAGGATTCAGAGACAGACGATAAATTTAAGACTTGGTTTTGGGTATTCTGCCAGGATTTCAAAATACAAGCTTAACTGATGATTCTAAATTGGATAAGTTTATGTTAAATATCAAACAGTACTATTATTATTATTGTTGCCTTTAATTCCTAGAGGAACATAGGACTTCAGCCGGACGTCTCTATTGCGTTCCGTTCTCTGTCGACGTTTTCACCTGGCTCCACGTCTGCACACATACTTTCATCTCCTCTTCACATGACCTCCTCCATGTCAACCTCGCACTGGTGACCAACTAACTCTCCTCTTCCCACTCTAGTTCCACTTGAGTGGTAACCTATCGTGTGATGTCACCTGATGGTTTTCTCAGAGTATAGCCAGTCCACCTCCATTTCTTCCTGCATGTTTGTTGTTGCACACTTGGTCCCTGCTGGGTTGGTTCGTTCATTGCCAGAGAACCCTTACTATTGCTGATCTTTTCTGATCGGCCATCCGATTTTAAGTAGTTTTGAGCGGAGACAGCTAATGATGAAGGTCTGTAGTTTGTTCGAAGTTCACTTTGTGACGCGCCTCATCTCTGATCCCTATAGTAGCACTGACTTCACATTGGAGTCGAAAATCCACGTCTTACTTTCATTTTCATGCTGAGTGTTGTTGACTTCAACACAGACTAGAGGTTAATGAAAGTCTGCCTTGCTTTCCTGATCCTCGCTGCTTTGATATCTTCATCAGTTCTGTTCGCCTGTAGTTGAAACAATGCTTCCCAGGTATGTAGGTAGGTAGGTAAATGAGGTCACTTCTTTCCCATTTATAGTGATTGTTTTCTATTGTTGTTGCTGTTGGCCAGGTATCTTCATCATCACCTTTGTTTTCTCTATGTTCGCCTCAAGTCCTATCCTCTCTGGGTGCTTCTTCTATCTCCAACTTGTTGCTTTCCATTTGCATATCTTCCAGTTTGTGGGAAATCAGATACATATATCATCGGTGAAGTCCAGATCCTCCAAGTTTTTTGTGTGAGTTCATCTTATGTCTGTTTCCTCGCTACCCACTGTCTGTATTGATAACTGGATGATACCTCGAGCATAAATTATTATTGCTTATAATCATACCAGTTTAGTCGACACAGTTTCACAATTTATCCTATATATATATATACTTTTTCTCTCTTTCTCTCCCTTTTAACTTGTTGTTTGCTGCTACCATTCGTATCTCCGGTATCGGTGTTGCGTCATTCGGATTGCACATGTGCAGGTGTTGAGTCGATAAACAAAGATTCAGCGAATAACCTCTCTCTCCAACTGATTATGTTACTTTTTAATACTCTTGCCCTGCCCCACCCTACTTTGTGATTACATGCAAGTGAATGCAGTGCAGTGGCTGGGCTTTCTTCTTGGTTTTTAGTTATCAGGGTCGATTATCCTAGGTTTAGCTAAATTCTTGTGTTCCAATAATCTAGTTGACTCCGATCTGCTAGTTCAACTTATGTAATTGACCTTGCAGTCAGCATTACATGGTATTTGGTAAATTATACTATTTTTCTTAATTGGATCTGTTTGGGGAGTCCTTAAGCTGACAAAGTTTATCTTTAAGAGTTGGTTAGTTTAAATGCCACTCTAATTACAGCCTCAGTGGGAATTCTACGTAAGGTCTTTGACGTCGCTTCTTTTTGCAGCAGTGCTACAGAGGCTTTGGATTCTATATTTCTCTCGTTATTTTCATCACTATTATTTCTAGTCTTAGTTTTTCTATGGTTCTTTATATATTTCTGAATAAATTCTGGTGAGAAGTTATTCAATAAAAATGCTTCCTTTATCTGTTTGATTTCGTTATTTAAATCTCTTAGCTTAGTGGTTAGGTTATTAGCCCAATTATTTACACATTTAACTAAACCCATTTAAACCGATCCTAGGTGGGATGAATTAAAGTCTAAGTATTCATACTGTATCGGTTTCTTATGAGTGCATCGGTGGCACAGAGGTAGAATATTCACAAACTACGATTCATGTGATCCATGGTTCGATCCCCGGCCGGCGCAGACCTACATCTCGCTAAGCCAGTAATTAGACAGGTAGGTAAAGAAGGTAGGTAGGGCATAAGACTAGCAACCCCATCTCGTAAAAATATACACCACTGCTATGCAAACTTCAAGCCTCTGGCTTGAAGGCGCCCTGCGTTTCACTGGAAACATACAGGAACAAAAAATATGAAAAAATCGGTTTCCTAGTATCTAAACCATCATCTTGTTTTTTTCTTTTCATTCAGCAGTCAAGCATGGCTAACTGACTCTGCTCGTTTTCTAACTAACTCACACAAGTGAATTGGATTCCGTCTACTTTTGAGTTTATAAGTTTGAAGAAATGAGAGGGGTATGTTCAGATCTCCAAACAGGCAGTGTGTCATCCTTATATCTCCACCAAAATAACCTAGGAGGAGCAAGATTAAACATTGTAAGAGCCTAATGTTCCCTGATATCCAGAAATATGTCTACCTTGTTTTGGGGATATCAATGATTCCATTGCCATCATATTTGTTTGTTTTATATAATTTATTTCGAAGTTTGAATTCAGTTGAGGTTAGACATAACTGAAAAACTTAACATTTTTTCATCAACGTGAGAGCTTAGTTCTTCTACTTTTAAGTTAAGGATCAATGTTCAGTTCATTCCTAACTACCTTCAGAGTTGTATTAATTAATGGGAATATTAGTAATATAAATTGGTTAGATCAACATTGATCATTTTTTCATCTTTTTCTAGTTGAATTTACCCTAGTTTCTGTTTCAGTGCATAGGAATTAGTTAGCTAGGAATTCGACATGTCTCTGCTCTAATGTGGCATAACACTGATGCTAAATACTTAGATAACTAATACGTCGGAGTGTTCCCAAAGTCAACTATTAGCCTGATAGGGTACTCCGCCTTATGAATTTTGATTGTTCCATACATTCTACTAGGGTTATTAGTATTTAGAAAATCAAAACAAATGATTCACCGAAGAGACTCTTTTCAACGAATTTATCATCAAGCTGGATGATGGAAGATGAAGAGATCGATTTATTGTGAGCTGTCATGGAATGATCAACTGACAAATTTCTACAGCTGGGTACCCATTGGTCGAAAACGAAACCTGGTCCGGTTGCTTGCCACTCGTATTCGGCGCATATGTAGCCCTGATACTGTGGAAGATGAGTTATACATTTTGAGGAAAATCCTAATGGAAAATGGATTTCCACCACGTTTTATAGATAAGAATATACATTCAAAGCCTACAAAACGTGACTTATCAACCGTACCCAAGAAAATACTTTACATGAGCTTGGAATTCAAAGGAGACTTAGCTTCCGATATCATGAAACGAAGGATATCACAGTCCCTGAAAAGAACATTCCCTGCTGCCTCTCTGAGAATAGCTTTTACTAGCCGACCATTATTGTTCAATAACCTGAAGGACAAGATCCCAATGTTGACCAACTCTATGTGTGTTTATCAATTCACCTGCTCTTGTGGAGCTAGGTATATCGGTCGTTCGACTCGAGTTTTGTCCAAGAGGGTGCAAGAACACTATCCTGCATGGCTACGAAAAGGTTGAAGTGGAGCAATCAGAAGCGCGATCATTGAACATCTGGTCGATAATGATCACCCTATCTCTATAGCCTCCACCTTTAAAGTCATCTACAAGGCAAAGTGCAATTTACCCAAATCCCTACGTACCCGACTCATCTGTATTGCTGAAACTTTGGCTATCGAAACAGAAAAGCCAGATCTCTGTGTACAGAAAAAGTTCGTTCAACCCCTCCAACTTTCATGGTCTTAATCCCTCTATGCTAAAATATGGTAATCCCCAATCATATTTTAGTTCTACCAATTTTTCATTTTGTCTATTCAATTTGTATACTCTTCCTTATTAAGTCAATTGTTATTATTACTATTCTCACTTTGAACTGTCCCCGGTATTATTTCACTTGTTCCACTTGTCATTCTAAATCAATTCTTTTTATACAACGATAAATTCTATGCTATTAAATTTCACACAATATTACGTAACGTTTTTGTTTTATTCGATTTGTCTACTAATCCTATAATTGCACACCCTTTTTCAAGTTCTATCCATCCTATGAATTATTCTATATATATGACATTAATCTGCTTTGCCACTTGACATTTAACTACGATTATAATCACAAACATTTTAGTTTCTAATTGAATTTCATATATTATTATTGTTTTATGCATTCACACCTATGATTCAATTCCCTCACCGGATATAACTTCTTAAAAACCATATATA